CGTCTCCCGGGCAATGTCCCTCTCTCTGTCCCCTGTCCTTGGCATTTGGTGACCCCCACTGTGAGCTTTGAGCTTCACGAGCTTCATGATCCTGTCTTTGTTGTGTATTTGTTTTTAATTTTCTAAAAATGTTTATATATTTTTGAGAGAGAAAGAGACAGAGTGCGAGCAGGGGAGGGGCAGAGAGAAAGAAAGGGAGGCACGGAATCCAAAGCCAGCTCCGGGCTCTGAGGTGTCAGCACAGAGCCTGACCCCAACGAACTGTGAAATCATGACCTGAGCCGAAGTCGGAGGCTTAGCTGATGGAGCCACCCAGGCGCCCCTGTAGGGATCCTTTCTACCTTGTTCATGAATGCATCGTCGGAGCGTGGCGCTTAGTGGGTGTTCAAAAAGTGCCAGTTGAATGAACGAACGGATGAATGAGCCCTACGGAGGGACATGGTCTGCTCAGCTCTGGACTCTGGAGTCGGCATGGGGAGAAGAAGGGGGCCTGCGCCTGGGCCAGTGCCAGTGCCCTGCCCTCTCCAGCGCTCAGTCAAGCCCCGGGCCCCTCCGGAGCCGACTCTGCTCCATCCACGCACGTCCTCCCTTCGCCGCCTCCTGAGGGACCCAGAGCGCTGGTGATATCCGGGACCTGCCACTGGTAGCTGTTTCTGGCTCATCTCCCACGGCCCCCAAGGTGCCTCCGGAGTTTGCGGGAAAGGATGGGGTTCCTCGAGGAACGCGGGTGCCCTGCAATCCCTCCCGCCCTCCGCACGCCAGCGCCGCCCGCTGCCAGGTCCCAGTAGGTCACCACGTGCTGGAACGGGGCTGTGCGATTCTCACATAAACCCCACATCCCAAAGCCGAGCAAACGCGGGCTCCAGCAGTGAAGTGACCGGCCCGAGGTCACAAGACTGCAGGCGGCAGTCCTAGGAGTTGAACCTGGGCCCCAAATTCTTCACTGCTGCATTTGCCTGACTGCCCACACTGGGTCCGGCACCCTGTCCGGGGCTCCCTCGGCTTCTGTCTTCTCCACTGGGGCAACACGCCCTCTGTATCGTCCTCAGCTCCTATGCTGGGCCAGGAACGACTCAGGGGCAGCAAGCTAGACCAGTCTGATGCCTCGTCTGGGTCCCCTTGGCCAGGCCAACGTGCCCGTTGGGCAGCCGCTGACCTTTTTTCTGGAGTGTTGCCTTACGTAGAAAAACTCACTTGCCGGGGGGGTTATGACACCCCTCACCCCAGCTGACCCCAACCGGAACCAGCGACTGGCGGGCAAGAGGAGGCGGGATCAACTCTGCGGCACAAGTCATGCTCTAGAATCCCTTGCGGGAACCAGCTGAGATCCCAGCCTTGCTAAGCGCCTTCTGCCCTCTCCTGCTTTCCTCACTCGCTCTTTCTAGAAAGCTCTCCTTCCAGAACCCACGTGCACAGGATGTCATGTCTCAGGCTCTACTTCTAGAGAACCTGACCCGAGACAGGCAGGGACAGCCTGACAATCACTGAGACCCCAGTGTCAAGGCCAAGAGGATGGCAGGAACTTCATGGGCATTTATTGAAGGAACGAGGCATTTCTCCTGCCCTCTGTGCAAAGCTTCTGCTCCAATCCATGGGCCTCCTCAGTCAGGCCGTACAGAGAATCAGTTCTTGTTCAAAGGGAGGAGCTTGGTTTTCTGAGGGCACCACTCCATTCCTGGTGCCTAGATATGGAGCACATAGTAGGAGCTTAGTGAGCATTTGTCAAATGAGTGATTATTTATTTGTTTGTTTTAAGAGAGAGAGAGAGAGAAACAGTGAGAGCACAAGTGGGGAAAAGGCAGAGAGAGGGAGAGAGAGAGAATCCCACGCAGCCTCCGCACCACCAGGGCAGAGCCCCACGTGGGGCTCAGCTCAAACTCCCGAACTCGCGAGGTCATGACCTGAGCTGAAGTCAGATGCTTAACTGCCTGTGCCACGCAGGCGCCCCAGTGAGTGAATATTTCAATGAGTGACTGTCTGCTTTTCTCCATTCCTGTTTATATCCCCCCCAACCCCTCAAGGCCACCTCTGCCATCACCTGCCAGGTATCCTCACCTGCCATGTTCACCTGCCATGTTCACGGGCTGGCTTTGACTTCATACCAAAGCACCTTCCAGCTGTCTGCACACCTCAGAAGTTCACCGAGGGTCCTCAGGGGTCCCCCAAGGGCATGGGATCAGAGTTTCATGCAGAATAGCTCTGTTTGACCTATTTCCATGAGGTTTTGTTTGGACAAAAGCGCTCTGTGGCTGCAAAGACTGAGAAGCCCCTTGCCCCTCTGCTGTCTTGCATTTTCTTTCTCTCTCTCTCTTCCTCCCTCCCTCCCTTCCTTCCTCCCTCCATTTCTCTTCCTTCCTCCCTCCCTCCCTCCCTTCCTCCCTTCCTTCCTTCCTTCCTCTCTTTTGAGAGACAGTCTTAAGCAGGCTCCATGCCCAGAGCAGAGCCCAGTACAGGGCTCCCATCCCACCACCCTGGGATCATGACCTGAGCAGAAATCAAGAGCTGGATGCCCAAATGACTGAGCCCCCCAGCCGCCCCATCCTGCATGTCTTATCTACCCCCCGTACCCTCTTGAAGTGGGGCACAACGCCCTTCATGCTGCCCCATCCAAATTCTGTGTGTAGACATCCTCTTATGTCCCTGAGGATTCTAGTTTAAGGTTAAAAGCATAGGCTTTGGAGTCAGAAAGGCCCTGGGCCAGTTAATTTAGTCTCTCCTAGCCTCAGTTTCCGTAGCTGTAAAATGGGAAAGTCACAGAGCTACCACCTGAGGGCCGGGCAAGAATTCAGTAAGATGGGTCATGTGCTAAGCAAGTGCCTGACTCCTGGAAAAATACTAAAAGGTGCCTTCTAGTATTTTTTAATTCCCCAGGCAGTGCTTTGGGCATACTTGGAAATTAACTGCCAAAGTAATCAAACTCCTTCGGCCAAGGGAACTAAACTGTGGATATGCGTGAAGCTCATCCTGTCCTGGCATAGCTATTTCCCAGGGACCCAACACCATGTATCATGGCCATGACCACGGGGCTCTAGTGAAAGCCACCAATCCCAGGAGGACGCTGGGGACATTCCAAGTGGCAGCTGCACGGCTAAATAGAGCCCTCGTCCCTTGCTGCAAAAGGACTAGAGAAGGAACCCCAATGTTCCTCTGCTTCTTAAGCATCTGGCTTTCTCCCAGATCCAGGCTCGCTGTGCTTAGACAGCAGGGGAAGTTGGAAGAGAATATGGTTTCTCATTGCCTAGATTTGTTGGTGTATCTGCAGCGGCTTATACAAAGGTTGTGCACAGGGCGTGCTCAATAAAAATCGTGGGGTGAATGCAGGCATAGAGGGACGAGTGAATTGGAGCTCTGTCTGCCATGTAATTTCAGCATCTAGGATAGGTGTCTTTCAATAAATGTTTCGGAGTGAATGAATGAATTCTAGGTTCACTGCCCTGTTCTCAGTTCTGAGACCGAGTCCCAGCACCGAGGAGGCGGGTGATGAATATTTATGGAGGAAATGAACCAGATCCAGTATTTCCCTGGGTAATAACTGGGCTTCAGCTGCGGTTGCCCTCTACCTCCCCACTTGCCCCAGAGTCACAGACATGGGTTCCAGGGACAGAGTCCTCGAGTCCAGTCACCAGCCCAGCTTGGCCTTAGCCGGGTGGAATGGGGTCTAGAAAACAGAGCTATTTATTACCTTCCCCCGGGCACACCCGGGAGACTGACTGGCTGGCTTGCCAGTAAGCTTGGAGGGGATGCCCTTGGGGAACACTCACCCCCCCAGATGGACTGTGCTGGAAGGAGTGGAGCACGGTGACCCAGGGATGCCACCAAGGAGCCCTCATCGGCACGGCGTTGGCATCCTTATAACCACACGGGCGCACACACATTGATGGGGACATGTGGCCACGCCCCGCTGGGCACAGAGCTCTCTACAGTGACCCTTCCTTCCTCCCCTGTCTGCACGTGGGAGCCACTGTCCAGAACAGGCTCCCGAGATCCACACGAGTGATCTCGTCTGTTCATCTTCCCAGTGCATCCCCGGGGGCACAGGCATGTGGCTGTGCACTCGGCCTTGCCCAGCCTCCCCCCTCTGCCATCCCATCCAAACGCACCTTGCCTCTGCCCCGAGCACACAGTGGCCACACGCCGCCCTGTGGCACCACCAAGAGACAACACCACCTGTCACACGGGACCCCTTCCTTGGATTAGAGAAGCCCGATTAGCCAGGAGCTGCGGCTCAGCGTTCACAGCGCAGAACCAGAGACAAGTCACGGGTCCCCTCATTGCCTGGAGTTACGGGAGTCCCTCCCTAACCCCGCGTTCTGTGCCACCGACGGGCAGCTGCTCTATCCTTCGCCACCGCTGGGATTGACTCCCCCCGCACCCCCACCCCACCCCAACCCAGTGGAACCAGGAAGTGGCCCGGCCCCTTAGAGTTGCCTGGCCTGCAGGCTGCAATGCTGTCCCCAGAAGTATCTGGATCCTGGGCCGGGGCCCTACTTGGCCCCCAGCCGTGCAAGCCAGAGGCCTCCTCCCGACTCCGGCTTGCGGCGCAGCCGCTTGCCCATGCCTGCTGCCTGTGGGGTCTCGGGCCAGCCAAGCGCATGGGGCCACCCTACAGCACGAGCCGGCGAGTCGGAGGAACGCGGCCTTCGATGCCCAGACAGGCCGGCGCAAGGAACCAGCTCCACACGGGGTGACGAGGAGGCAGCTGGGACCCTAAGGCCTCAATCTGTGCCGACTGATCCTTCCTTCCCCCGTCAGGTTCCCTTTAGCCACGGTCTGGGGTTGACCCCTGCAGCTGCATAGCCCGGGGGAGACGCCGGGCTGGCATTTGGTCCCCTTGGGTACCCTCCAGGTAGGGCGGAAGCGGAGCAGGTCAGGGATGCTGGGAGGCCCCGCAATGCCCCAGGAGAGCAAACCACAAGGGGAGCCCCCTTCCCGAGATGCCCAAGCTGGGTTCGCCACGCCCGCCTGCCCCAGGGGGGGCCGGGCCCCCGCCTGGTACTCACCCCGCTCCGCAGAGGCCTCACCCTCGCGTGGTGGCAGCCGCCCCCTCTCAGGCAGTGCTCCCCATCTGGAGAGGCCGCGGCACTAATCAGCCGCCTGGCGTGGTGCGGCCGAGTGGCTGGGGTTTAATTGACACCAGGTGGCCCCTCCCCAGGGGCAGGCTGGGAGGCGGCTCTGCCCGGCAGGGAGGCCAAGCCCCGGGCAGGGGGGCCCCCCTGGCACCCAGGCCTGGCCGGTTCAGGCCTCCCCTGGGGAGAGCAGGGCAGTCAGGCAGCTGCGGGCCACCCCTCCCCTCCTCTCCCACCGGCCGCCTCCGTAGCACACTCCAGCCCTGCTTTCCTAGGCTCTGACCTTTCTTTCATTTCAGAGGCAGCGGGGACAGTGACAGCGTCTGCCCAGGAGGAGGGTGGCTCAGGTTTCCCCCCTGGCTGGCTGGGGGCAAGGCCCTGTCGGCTGGCTCCTCAGGAGGGACACCCGTGGGCGTCGCGGACCCTCCCCCAGACCATCTTTTATTGAACACTTACTACATGCCAGGCCCTGAACGGTGCCCACATTGTGCTGTGGGAGGTGGGCCTATGGTAATTCCTTCCACTTTGTAGATGAAGGAGCTGAGGCTCAGAGAAGCTAAACTTCTTCCCGAAGTCACACAGCGGGACAGACACCTAGTCAGGGATTTTAACCACCACCTGTAAAGTAGGTCCCCATTTTCCAGATAAAGTAATTGAGGAGGCCACTTCTCAAGGTCACACAGCCAAGTATGGAATTTGGATCCGTCACCAGATGTGTTGGGCCGGGCTGCCCGGAACAGTCAAGTCCAGTCGTGAAACAAGCTTTCTCTCCTGACCGACAGGTATCCCTGCTTATATGAGGGCTCCAAGTGAGTCACAGCTGGGGTTTAGGAGAAGGAACATTGGATGTAGAGTCAGAAGACCTGTGTCGAACCTGCTGTGTGAATTTGAGCAAGTTACTCTACCTCTCTGGGCTTTGCTGCAGCTGGGAGCTGGGAGCACCAAATAGGACACCATGTGGACAGGGCTTTGTGACTGGGACTCCCTGGGCAAGGCTGGGGATGCTGGGGTGATTCTGCCTCAGTAGTCTTTCCCAGAACCCCCCCCCCCCCGTATTTTCTCCCATTACCACCCGGAGCTGAAAGACCCAGCAGTGAAGGGCACACACAGTCTCTGTAGTAACAGACCTGGGTCCAAATCCTGGTTCTGTGCCTCATCAACCACATGACCTTCAGAGGTCACTTCCGTTCTCCGGGTCTCAATTTCTCATCTCTGAAACGTGCTAAAGAGCCCTGCCTCCCTGCCTGGGCTGAGGGAGGATCAGCGACGAATGACCCAGCATCCATCTTTTCATTCAACACCACTCATTGAGCACCTACTATGTGTGGGTCACCGTGCTGGGGACATAATGGTGGGCAAAACAGAGTCAGTCCGTGCCCCGGTGGCGGAGACAGATAATAGTTAAGAGAACACACAAATCAATATGTAACTCCTCGTACATCCTTGAGAAACAGAAGTGGTTATTGTTGTTCACACACTTACTCAGGAAAAGAACTCACATACCTACTATGTGCCAGGTACTGTTATGGGCACTGGGCATGTAGCAGTGAGCCGTGAGGACAGGTCCCGGTACACAGGAAGCTGGCATGTTCCAACAATTAACCATGACCATGTGTAGCAATAACAATGATTACAATTATAATAACATATAATATATAATTATGATTATTATACTATTATCATGTAATAATTAATATTATTATATATTATAATAGGATACCCCCCTGCCCTGTGTGCCTTGATTTCCTCACTGGTAGAATAACATGCCTGTCTGCTGGGTCTGCCCCTTGGGGAGCTCCGAGGTGCAGTGTGGGATTCCAGAACATTCCTAGGTCTAATCTTCAGTGAGGCTCATGGGCTCCTTTTGGTCTGACTTATGGACACCCTGGCAGGCAGCTCATCCCCCTGGCCCAGACCCAGACCCCATGTGGGTTGGGAGAAGCTGAGCCCATGACTCAGCCTGCCTGGCTTGTCAAGTGACAAGGCAGCAGGCAGCTGGCTGGGTTGTGAGCCATGGGGCCGTCATGAGCCAGACGTGGGGCAGGTGCCCAGGGTACAGACTGGGGCTTCAGGATGGCAAGGGAGGGGCTCCGGGCTCAGGTGACTTCACCCTGACCCCGGGTGGCATGTGTCACTAGTAAAGAGAATATTTTGTTAAGAAGCAGTGAGAAATCATGGAACGGACTGCCTTGTGAGTGAATGAGCTCCCCGTCAGTGAAAGTCATCTCCAGCGAGACGTAAAGGGGACTCCAGAAATTGGGAGAGGGTTCTGGGAAAGCTAGGTGATTTCTACACCTTCTTCAGACCTAATTTTGGACATCACTTTCTCCTGGAAGCTTTTTCTGAGACCATCTCCCCCCCCCCCCCCCCGCCCCCCGGCCAGGCAGGCGCTTTGCCTGAGTTCTCGTGCCCTGGGCTTCCCCCTGTGCAAGCCCACGGCTCCAGAATTGCCTGTTCACTTGCCCAATTAAGCCCCAAGTCTGAGCTCCACCTCTGTCCACTCTGTTACCCACCCAGTGCCGCCGATGCACCCATCAGCCGTCCCCTGTCTGGGATCTCACGGTGACTTCTGGTCCCAGTCCCCCCCCCCCCCTGGCTGCGCCTCTTGCGGGCTGCAAGGCAGGGACGGGCACACAGTAGGTCTGTAGAGCAGCACCAATCAGCACAAATACACTGTGAGCCACAGACCTAGCCGTCAGTTCTCTGGTAGCCACATTCAAGAGGTAAACAGAAACAGGTGAAATGAATTATAACGTACTTTAGCCCAGGAAGGTCAAAAAGGATCGTGTCAATGTGTAACGAACATAAAAAAGTACGGATGAGATAGTGCACGTTCTTCCTGATTTTTTGAACATCTTAGAAATCTGGTGGGTCATCTCAATTCAGATTTGCCACATTTCAAGGGCTCAAGGGCCACATGTGGCCGGCTGTTCCTGCCTTGGGCAGATCTGGAAAGTTTTGCTGACTGAGAGAATGAAGATAGGAGGGAGGATATTCTTAGCTTAGTGGGTAAGGTGTCCCTATGGGTTGCCATGTTATTCTTTTTTTGTTTTGGTTTGGTTTTTTTTACTCATCTCTCTCTTTTGCTTTGCTGGGCAGTTCTCTGTGTCCTGTCTTTCTGTCCTTCAAGCCCAGCTCCGTGTTGAGCTGAAAATGAACCAGCTTTTCCAGAACTCTCTCCCAATTTCTGGACCGACTCCCCTTTACAACATCCAGCTAGAACACTTTGACAGGGAACTCATTCACTCACGAGGCAGTCCACTCGGTGATTTCTTACTGCTTCTTACTAGAATATTCTCTTTACTTCTGACACTGGGTCTCCCAGTAGAAGAGGTGGTGTGGTCTGGTGGTTTGAACTCAGGGGGCTGAGTGCCAATCCTGGCTCGGTCGCATAGTTGCATGACCCTGAGCCTCAGTTTCCTCATCTGTAAAGTGGGGCCGATACCACTTTTAGACGACGTGTCATCACTGTTCAGAAGGACTTTCTGCCATGACGGACATGTGGACCCTAAGGTGGTAGCGTCTATCCACACGTGGCTATCAAGCACTTGAAATGTGGCTGGTGTGCCAGAGGAATCGACCTTTGGATTTTACCTGATTAATTACATTTGAATTTAAATAGCTATATGTGGCTGCTGGCTACCACATCAGAGAGCACAGCTTCCCCAGTGTCACGGGAGGATTGATTGACTATAAAGCCCCAAGTGTAGAGCAAGATTTCCCCCACCTGGTGCCTAGTTTATCTGTCTAGTGTGTCTATAAAGACTGTGGAGGCCCCTCTTGAGTAATCGCACATTCCGATAGTGAGTGTAAGGAAATCATCCAAGGCCGGGAAAGAAGCATCTGAGGGGGGTAAGGATGCAAAGGGGGCAAAAACCCCTCAACTCTCAGAAGAGCCTACTCTCCCGACATATTGGGAGACTGTAGGGTTGCTTACACTGTGACAAACGGAGACAGAGAGATGCCTCCCACCTAGAAGGAGCATTGACATTTGTCTGGGTGGCTTATCCTAAAATTGCTTCCTGTGTAAGTGGTTTACATGTATTATCTCATTTAATAGTCACAGCAACCCTACAGTCTCCATGGCATGGAGACTGGTATTGTCTCCAATGACATGAATGGTGAAACTGAGGCTCAGAGAGGTCATGCCGCCTGCCCAAAGTCACACAGCCAGTGAGCCACAGAGCTGGGATTCCAATGTTAAGTCTATGAAGCCCTTGCTCATTCTCCATAGCGTAACACCATTCTCTGTCCAACCCTCGAAATGTCTCTACAGCTTCTCAGTAACTTTGCATCAGTCTTGACTTTCATCCTATAAGGTCGTGTCATATCCCTATCTGGCAACGATGAAAAAAACTGGGCCGCCAATAGGCTCAACAAGTTACTTAATAAAATACTAGTTTAAGGGCATCTTTTTAATAAAATTGACTCAGCAATCATTTTGTACAATTTTCTTTTATATTTAAAAATAAGCCCTGAGTCATATTTTGCTCTGTTCAGAGCTTTCTAATTTACTTAGAAGGTAATTGTCTCCATCTTCATGGTTCTGGACGTTTTGCAATAAATACCTCTTTATGAGGCAAAATGGCATTAAGACCTGACTTGACATCACATGGATTTTGAGCAGAGTTCTGGGCTAGAGACCAGGTCGCTCAGGTTTGTTTAGTTTGTAAGTGACCAGAGTGATTTTGAGCTTTGGAAGAAAAAAAGAGGAAGGGGGAGAATTGGTTAGAATACAGAGCATCTGGACAGTCCCAGGAATCAAGGAAATGACATCTGGGGATGTCAGCAGCAGAAAGTCCCTGAACTTCTTTGAGTGAAAGATTTAGCTCCTAATACTACCCAATCACCCCTGCAAGTCCCAGGTCAGAATTCTAAATTCTCAGGAAAATAAATCTGATTGGTCCAGCATGGGTCACGTGTTTACCCCTAAACCAATCAGCGACCACGGGTGGGCAGAACCATGCAGCGCTGCTGTAGAAACGGATGCTGGGATGCATACATCTGCAAGGAGGAGACAAGGTAGGCAGCCTCAAGACAGGGACTGACATCAGGGAAGGAATCTCCTTCCCAAACACATTCCTTTGTGGCTTGATGTCCTCTCACTGTCCCATCTTGAACAGACTTGTCTTCTCCTTCCCTAGAGAGGGCTGACAATTCTGTAATGCAGGAGTCAGCAAACAATTTCTGTAAAGGGCCAGAGAGTAAATATTTTTGGCTTCACAGACCATACCTTGGCCAT